CAGCCCTTTGTGGGGTTCCCACTGCCTCTGTCCTGTCCCCAGAGGAAATGACTTCTTGTGAAACCCTGGACCCTGGTAGAATTGGCCATCTGTGAGCTCATTATTGTCATGTGTGAGACTTGTCTCCACAGCTGTATGCCCTCACCCACCCCTAACGCACCCTGCCCCCAAAGGCAGGCTTTGACAGGCTAGGGAGCCAGCCCATCATCCATCCCCGCCCTGTCCTTTTCAAAAAGTCAGCAGATGTCCCTACTAAATGTGAGCACAGAATGGCCTGGACCTACCCAATCTGAATGGGATTTGAGATGAAAACATCTGTTTTACAAGCTCCCCAAATGATTCTTTCCCTCCCCTCCCCGCTCTCCCTCTCCCCATGGTGCTGGAATTGAACCCTAGGACCCCATGCTTGGTAAGCACTTGCTCTGCCATGGAACTACACCCCCAGCCCCTGGCTAATGGTGAAAGGGCTCTCTCTGGGCACCAGCGTCCTCATCCATAGAATGGCACTGTTTTTGTTTCTCAGGGTGTCTGTAGATAAGATTTTAAAAGCTTCTTTGAAAGGCTGCAATACATTGTATTGTTAGTATTTCCATTTCAAAAAGCAGCTTCATTTGCAAAAAGACTCCCACTGAGTTTTTAACTCTCCCTCCCAAAATCCTACTTGAAGCCCAGGGCTGTCAACAGCTTTTCACCACCCTCTTCGTAAGCCAGGTGCACTTCCATTCTTGCTATTTTGACCAAGCTGTTTGTTGTTGTTTTAAGTAAAAGAGCCAGAAAAGTCCTGGGAACACATTTACTGGTTTCTTATCTCCACCTCCCCGCCACACTCCACCCTCTCTCCATGGCCCTGACGCACGGGCTCCTTATGCCACCTCCATGTAACAATGAAGTTACCGAAGGGCTGAGGAGGAGCAACAAGCAGAGTACTGCACACACCGGGCTGGCCTTCAGAGGTTCCCATCTAGAATTCTGGGGTTTGCAAAATCACACACCCCCCCACCCCAAGATCTGGTTTAACTTCCCAAACCCGACTAGGGCAGCTTGCCAAACTGAGGCCCTGGGAACCAGCACACAGGACAGGGACAGCCTGCACAGGGAGGGGCAGGTAGCAGGGTGCTCCTTGACTTTAAATTACAGGCTGCAGTGGGTCCCACGGGAACAGTGCAGCCCAGGAAGAGGCAGTGTTTGTCATGGTCAGGGCCTGGGCCACCAACTCCAGAGGTCCAAGTCATCTAGCACATGACCCTAGCCCACTCCTTCTCAGAGCTCAGCCAGTGTCCCCACTGGGGTGGCCTCCATGAGGAGACAGAACTGATTGGAATAACACCTCCACAGGGGTACAAAGGTAGTCCCTGTTCCCACCAAGGAACATAAAACCTCAAAGGTGTTTTGAGGGGAGCACCTACTTGATGACATGGTGTCTTCTTTGGAGAGATAGGAAGTGTTCTGAAACTGCATGGAGGAGGTAGTTGCACGATGTTTTGAATGCACTCATTGTTCACCTTGAAATGGTTCGTTTTATTGTTATCTTTCTGCGGTGCTGGGATGGAACCCAGGGCCTTGAGTATGGTACATGAGTGCTCTACCATTGATTTCGCCAGCATGGATGGCTCATTTAAGATATGAATTTCACCTCAATTTATAAATAAATTTAAAGGGCTGGGGATGGAGTTCAGTAGAAGAGCACTGGCTTAGCATAAGCAAGGTCCTGGGTTCCATCCCAGCACCTCCAAAAACAATCAGTAATGATAATTAAGTATTCTGAGGTACTTAAAGGGGATACTGCTTTAAAAGATGCTCTACAAACCAGCTTTCTACACTGTCACCTCCCCCCAGCTTCTGGGGTTGCTGACTGTATTCCAGCTGGAAGAACTAGGTTGCCTGGAAGTCTTGCTCCCAAGCCCCCACTTGAGGAAGAGGGGAAATGTTAAGGCTCTTGTCAGAAAGACGATAGAAAACAGCATGGAGGGGCTCCGAAGCCCAGCTAGATCCTGGAATTGCAGGTCTATGCAAATCTGGGAAAAGCCACCTTCTTGCTTCATAGCCATCCATTTATCTGTCTATTCATTTATTCGTGCCAAGGACATTCAGTGAGCCTCTACATCGACGTGCCTGGCACAGTGCTGGACATTAAGATGAGCAGAACACTATCATTGGCATTCAGTGGAAGCCAAGTGGTAACGATATTAATAAGAGAAGCACATGGCGTGAGAATGCCCTGAGGAGGGAGGGCACCTAAAGGGTAAAGGGTTGGACCATGGTGCTGGTGGAAGCATGTCCAGGCAAGCCTGTCCTGCAGCCAGCCTTGGCTGAGGGCAGGGGGAGGGGGAGGGGAGAAGACTAACCTATAAAGGTTATAGGTTCTCTGAGGCTTGAAGAGGCCTGCTTCAGATGGAGCTGCCCCCATCCTAGGGGGTTCCACTGTGTGTGTATGGGGTCTGGGGATTTCAGTGCAGGAAGGGGTGTGATATGGTTATAAAGTCAGCTCCAAACAGGTGGGAGGGATCCTACCTTCCACCTCACTGGATGTACGAAGGCCCTTCACACCAGTTCTCCAGGACTAATGAGTCCAGTTTCTCCTGGCTGATAGTGATATAGGGCTCTGTTCCCCTCCATCCCAGGAGGGTATCACACAAAAGAAGCCACTGAAATCCCCCAACCCACCCCAGGCTTCCTTACAGGAGGTTGTTTATCCTGGAACCCACCTCCTCCTACACTGGGAAACACCTCTAAGGATCCTTTTATCATTACTTTCAAAAAACAAGAGACATTAGTGGATTTTCTTCTGAAAAGAAACAAAATTACCCAGTGCCCATGAGCACAGCTTTTTCCTATTTGAGAGCAGCTGTTTTATTAGCAGAAAGAGACAGTGAATGAGAAAAGGTGCCTGGCGTATAAGTCCATGATAGTACTTGTTGGATGAGTGAGTGATTCCTAATAAGTGGACTTTTCCAAACTGGCTCTGATTCCTTTGCTTATATGTGCTTTAAAGGAAAAACTCTTCTTCTTGGGTCAGGTTCCATATTTTTCTGAAATCTTTTTTCTGTCAAAAAGAAAAAAAAAAAAGGAAGCAGCAGCACTGGAGGTGTAGCTTAGTGGGAGTCATGCCTCCCATGCATGAAACACTGGGTTCATTTCCAGCACAGGAAAAAAAAAAGTTTAGAAGGAAGGAAAAGAAAACTACCCTTAGTCTATCTTCAGCTGGCTCAGGTGTCCTCAACCACCCTGGTGGAAGGAGTGAATGCCCTTCTGGTGGATTAATTCTTATCTTCTCTCCAGGGCAGCTGCAAAACTCACCTACAAAGAACCCAACTTTTTTCTTTCCATCTCTGTAAGAAGAGATTTCAAGAGGATGTCACCTACCTCCAAGCATTTCATCTAGCCACCTTGATCTACTGTATTTAAGGCTTCCAGCCAGTGGCAGAGCCTAAGGGAGGGAAGAGAAGGCCAGTGCTCAGGCCTTGAAAACCCCAGCGCCTAACAGACTATTCTATTCTGCAGCTGTCTTTAAAATGTCTTTAATCTGAGTCCCCAGATTTTTTTTGTCCAAATATGTGTTCCCAGAAGTGGTTGTCCCACCTGTAAAAGGGGGGTGGTCAGGGCTTAGATTCTTGGTTTTCCTGGGTGGTTCTGTATGTAGAGCTTTCTAGTTTAACAACAAAAACAAAAACAAAACTAGGGTGGGGGGATGGGGCTGTAGATGGCAGTGGCCTGACTTCTCTGGCAAGTGTCGTATATCACTGTGCAAGCCTGCCCTGCGGTGAGGCTCGCCTGTCTGATCTGGTTTGGCTCCGGCCCGCTGGGCTAGAGTGTCTGATGAAAGTTCGGTTCCCTCTTCCATCAGGGTCCGCGTGCCCCACATTGATAAACCTTTAAAAAAAATAAAGGTCGAGTCCGTGCGAAGCTCCTCCCACCCTTAGCAAGCACTATCAGCCCTCGAGCACCGCTGCCAGGCCAGATTTCCTGTGGCCCCGCCTGCATGATGAAACCCGGGATGGCCATTGCACTCTTGGGCTTTTCCGGAGATCTCGGCCCTTGGCCGGGACGAACTCTCGGTCTTAGCACACAAAGCGCGGAGAAGGGGCTCTAGGACCCGGGGGAAGCTCGGGGCTCGGGACCGCTGCGGGCGGGGGAGGCACAGCAGAGCCGCGGCCGGTCTCCTGGGTCCGAGGTTGGGCCAGTGTGCGGGCTTGATAGGGGTCCTGGTCCTCATCCCTGGACCAGGCGCTAGAAACACTCCTCTCATCGCCTACAAAAGCCCTCTCCTTAGGAACGGTTAAGAGTGCGCGGACAGGGTTTGGGGCAATCTCCAACGGGGGCACGGATATCCCCCATGAACCCATTCCCTGGGGTTGTCACTAACAGGCGGACAGGCAGGTGGGACCACCGAATCTGTGGAGAACTGAGCCCGGAGTTGCCCGGGTCTTTGGGCCCCACCCCCCATATAGCAAGGCAGGTATAGCGTGGGGTTCGTGCACGAGCGCCGGCCGAGTTAACGACTGCCTCCCGCTCCGCGGTCCCACGGTCATCCACTCGGGCGCCCAGTTCTGCCCTTGGTTCCAAGGCGCCCACCCTGGGGGTACCTGTTTTCCCTGCCCGCACCCCTCAAGTTTCCTTCTCTCTCCTCCTGAGTGCGATCACGGGCTATCCCCTCCCCCATCAACGCGACCCTATAATAAACAAGTCTTTCCTTGATCCTCCCCGGCCGCGAGCGCCCTCAGGGACCTTGGCAGCTGCAGCCGCCGCGGATCCTTTCCAGAAAGGGGGCGTGGCCGCTGCTCGGGGTTCAGCCCGGAGTGTTCTGGGGCTCAGTGGGGGCGGGGCCAGGCCGCTGTCACTGGGCAGGAGAGAACGTTGCGAACGTGCGCCCGGAGCCCATTGGCCGAGGTGGGCCACACTCCCGGGTCTGGATTGGGCCACCGCGCCGAGGGGGCGTGGCTTCACCGCGCCAGTCCTTATAGGCTGCTCAGCTCTGGTGCTAGGGATCTCAGCAGGCCAAGGGGGAGGTGCGAGTTGGTAGAAGGGACAGGTCTGGGCAGCTCTCGGTGGTTGGCACCAGTTCGCGCACCCATTCAAGCAGCAGGACGCACTTGTCCTCGCAGTTCTCGCTGGCCGCGCTAGCTGGTGAGTGCCCCTTCTGTGTGTTGACCTCTGCGTGGGGGCGGCGTCGGCCGTAGGGGTCCTAGCGGCTCTCTAGTCTTGTCCGGCTCCCCAGACTGACGCTTGATTCCTGTCCCTCTTGTCTTGCAGCGGCTTCTGCCTTTTCTCACTCCGAGCTCATCAACCAACGTCCTGGCTTCCGACCTCACCATGCCTGGCCTTTGGGACCGCTTCTCGTCGTCCTCCTCTTCGTCCTCGTCCCGAACGCCCACCCCAGATCGGCAGCCGCGCTCAGCCTGGGGGTCGGCGGCCCGAGAGGAGGGGCTTGACCGCTGCGCGAGCCTGGAGAGCTCGGACTGCGAGTCCCTGGACAGCAGCAATAGTGGCTTCGGGCCAGAGGAAGGTGAGCAGTGGGCGGGTGCCGAGCACGACTTGGGGTCGGGCAGGCGAGCACTGGACTGGAAGGGATCCATGCCACTTGGGTTTCTTATCCCAAGAGGACCCGGATTGCCGGGGGCTGGGGGACTGGAGCAGAGGGTACGTGTGGGGGGCGGAAACTGAGGCACGGAGTAGGAAGGATCGCTGCTTGCTTAGCAAAACAGCTCCTCCCCCGCCTGCACGTCTCCCGTGGAAGCCGCTCTAATCCCCTCCTTCCCTGTGTGCTCGCCCTTCCAGACTCGGCATATTTGGATGGGGTATCCCTCCCCGACTTCGAGCTGCTCAGCGACCCGGAGGATGAGCACCTGTGTGCCAACCTGATGCAGCTGCTGCAGGAGAGCCTGTCCCAGGCGCGACTGGGCTCTCGGCGCCCTGCGCGCCTGCTGATGCCGGGCCAGCTGGTGAGCCAGGTGGGCAAGGAGCTCCTGCGCCTGGCTTACAGCGAGCCGTGCGGCCTGCGGGGAGCGCTGCTGGACGTCTGCGTGGAGCAGGGCAAGAGCTGCCACAGCGTGGGCCAGCTGGCCCTGGACCCCAGCCTGGTGCCCACCTTCCAGCTGACCCTCGTGCTGCGCCTGGACTCTCGCCTCTGGCCCAAAATCCAGGGGCTGTTCAGCTCAGCCAACTCTCCCTTCGTCCCTGGCTTTAGCCAGTCCCTGACGCTGAGCACCGGTTTCAGAGTCATCAAGAAGAAGCTGTACAGCTCCGAGCAGCTGCTCATTGAGGAGTGTTGAACTTCAGCCTGGGGGGGCCGTACTGCCCCCGCAGCGGAGCCAAGGGAACTTTTGAGGTGGAGGCCAGCAGGCAAGGGCTGCGGGACTGATGCCTGTGTTAGAAGACTGACGACAGCCACCTGAAGGGCCGAGGTTCAGGCAGGGGACCTTGGAAAAGTAGTGTTTCCAAGAGCCGACTAGGTTGTGTGCAGGTGGCTCCCTCCTGGGGCACATGCCCCTTAGTACTGTAGCATGAAACAAAGGCTTGGGGGCCCACCAGGCTTCTGGCTGGATGTGTATGTAGCATGTACCTTATTATTTTGTTATTACCGATAGTTATAACAGTGGTGTGACAGAGCCAGGAGGCAGCTGGGCTGTGCTGGCCTCTGCAAGGGGTGTGTGGCTCACCATGGCAGCAAAGAGGGAGGGGGGAGGTCGTGGAGGTGGTTTGTGTATCTCATGGTCTGAGGGGACCAAGTGTGCGTGTTGGTTGTTTTGTATCTTTTGTTTGGGGGATCAGAGCTTCACTACTGACTTGTAGGCAGCTATCTTACAGACGCATGAATGTGAGAGTAGGAAGGGGTGGGTGTTGGGATCACTTGGGATCTTGGACACTTGAAGAAAAAGAAAAATATATACACTTGGTAGCTGCGTCCAACCATCCCCTGCCAAGAACTGGCGAGAAGCTGTGAGGGGATGGGGCTAAGTGGGGCCGGGGGCTGGAACCCCTCCCCCAGAGGAGTGCCAGCTGGGTCTTCCATCTAGAACTGTTTACATGAAGATATTCACTGTTCATGAATACACTTGATGTTCAAGTATTAAGACCTATGCAATCTTTTTTACTTTTCTAATAAACATGTTTGTTAAAACAGTTGAGTCAAATCAGTGCCATGAAATGGAAAGGAGGGGATTGGGTGCTGGGAAAGGCAGGTTTCATCAGACTCCGAGGTCCACCTGTGTGTTCCTTGGCCCTTTCCAGTACTACCCGCCAGCCTGGTAACAGTTACGTGGATTATGCCATCCATGCCAAGAACTCTGGCTCCCCTGGAGCTACCGGGGGAATGTATTGGAAAGCACCCCAAGGTGAGAGATGAGTCAGACCTCCCTCAGAGCCAGTCTCAGTAGGGAGAGTTTATCTGGCTGCCCAGATTAGAAGGCCCAGGCACAAGGGCTTCCTGAGCCTAAGGCCCTTAAGGACTGGAAAAGACTGTTCTTACTGTGAGAAAAATCTCAGTTCTGTTTGGTCCACGGTCATGAAAATTACAAATTCGAACTCAATGCAAAAAGGCAAAGAGGAGTAGTTACTACTCTTTAGCTCAAGCTTCTCACTAGACAAGGAACCAGGAATCAGAGATGGCAATGTGGCTCAGGCAGGAGCAGAACCCCCACACAATTGCAGGAGGGCTGCCTGGAGTGATGCAGACTCATTGCACTATTGGACTAGCTGGGACCACATTTCCTTATCAGAGAAGGTGGATTTCTTTATCAAAGAAGTTAGGGTTGGAGAAATTGGGTTTCCTTATCAGAGAAGTGGAGCTTGGGCCAGAAGATCAAGAGTTGGGCCAGAAGGCCAATGCCCTTGGCACTTCTCCCTCCCTCCCTCCCTCCACTCCTGGGCCCACCCACACCAACTAGTCATTGGAGACTTGTTACCTCCTTTGTTTCTCTTCCTGGTCCCAAGCAGGGACCGGTTAACTAAGACCCATAAAACAGTGGTTCTTCCACTGGGCTGTAGTCAGATGGCCTGGGGCCCTGGTTAAAACAGATCTTGTGCAGGGTCTTGAACTTTGGGACAGCTTAGGAGACCCACATCTTTTTGGTAGAATTGTATGACTTGTTCCCAAAAATGAATGAACTTGGGTTAGAAGTAGATTTGTAAATGAAAGGCAATGACAATGAAGAAGGTGCCCAGAGCAGAGTTTTAGGAGTCTTCATACCTATCTTCTTCACCCTCCTAACAGCCACCCTGTGAGGATGGATGGGCAGGGGTTCGGAATATTTTACACATGGTAGAGGCCCAAGTCCCTGCAAGGCCATCTTCTTGGACAATTATGACCGTGTCTGTATTCAGCCAGCTCAGGGCTTAGGGCTGGAGTGAGGCAGGCTCAAGCTGTCTGGCAGTGTCTGAGGTGCACTTTTCCAGGGACTGAGATCTGTACCAATGTTGGTGTCCCCGCATTCCTGGTTCCAAAACAGAAGCAAGGAAAACAGTGGTCTGTCTCCAGAGAGTTTGCACCAAGAGATGGAGGGCTGGTAATCCCTTTCCCAGCCATAAAGCAGCATGCCACTTTCTGAGTGGCATGAGACTAAGGCATGCTTTCTGAGTGGGTGAGACTAAGGTAGGAGAAGCAAGGCTTGGGTCCCCAGAGAGCTCAACCAAGAAGCCCTCTGTTGAAGCCAGACTGGCAATGCCTGAAAGTCCCCCTAACCAGGACAGAAGTGGAAGCCCTGTGGCCTGGGTTTCACAGTAAGGAAAAGAAGCCCGTTGGGCTCAAGGCAGGTAGGTCATAGACCTCCTAAGATGTGGCAGGGAGCTTTGCCTCATGTGTTGGGCTCCTAGGAAAAGATGAGGCAGTCTCCTTTGTTGCAATGCCTAAAAGCTAATAAAGCTTGTAAAAATTTACACATAAAATCCAACTTAGGAAAACACTTTCAGAAAGTGTTCTAGTAGGCCTGTAAAATCTGTAGGTTTTTTTTTTTTTCATCTGTATTCATTACCTTCCATTGTACAGGATTCTCCTTTTGATTCCTATATCCCACCTCATCAGGTCACTGCTCTAGAACCTGCAATAGCTCCCTATTGCCAGATAATGTCTGCCTTTCAAAACCTTCGTCACTGGCCCCTGTACTGCCTACCAGGGCTTACCACCCACCACTTGCCTTACAATGGTCGGTATGGTCTGCCCACTTCTCTAGCCCCAGACTCTGCTCATTCTAGTGCCTTCCACCAGAGATGAAGTCACTCTATTTTGCTTGTAAGCCCTGCCCTTCCTTTAAGGCCCAGAGCAAACTGCAGCCCTTTCGTGGCTTCCCCTGCCTCCCTCCCCACCATCTGTCACAATGATAGTGTTAAAATCTTGACAGTTCTCTGCTATCACTGTCCTGCTCATTCTGTAGCCCTCCAGCGCTACGAGGTACAGTTAGGTCCCCTCAGGCCTGGCATATAGTAGTTAAGTAAACACTGAGCCCATCTCCCTAGGCTCAGGGAACACAAGATTCCCCCATTAGCCTCAGCTCTGAGGTATTGGGATTTGAACTCAGGGCCTCACGTTTGCTAAGCAGGCGCTCTACCACTTGAGCCACTCCACCAGCCTTTTTCTGTGTTTGGTATTTTCAAGATAGGGTCTTAAAAACTATTTGCCCAGGCTGGTTTCAAACCTCCATCCTCCTGATCTCTGCCACTCCCCTCCCCCAGCAGCTAGGATTACAGAGTTAGCCAACAGCGTCTGGCTGTTGGTTTTTGCTTTGTGGTGCTAAGGATTGAAGCAAGGGTCTCATACATGCTACACACGTGCTGTACCACTGAGTTATCTCCCCAGCCCAAACTTAATAAATTATTTTCTTATAAAAACACTACTTTGGAGAAACGCTTTCAAACAGCCACAGGGCTGAGCTGTATCCTCAGCATGGCACATACTGAGTACAATATATAAAATTCTCTTTGTTCCACGTCACGGTTCTGAAGGAGATGCCAAGACCCAAAGTGGCTCGGGGAGCAGATCCGCAGGGACAAGGGTGGTCTCTGGCCTCCGGCTGACCACTTATCCCCACGCCCTCCTGGTTCCATAGCTCAGGTGAGGTTGGATCAGCGGTGCACTGCTTTTGCTGCTGGAGGTGGGCCAGTACGGCTGTGGAAGCTGAGGAAGGCTCAGGAAATGCGGGACACAGAACCCAGACCCCCTTAATAGCTCTTCCAGGATACTGTAATTGTCCTGGAACGGGGCTCTTCACCAAGGAATCATAAATTAATCAGCAGGCCATTAACCTAGACAAATCCGTGCAGGGGCCATCTGAGGAGTCTGTCTCCATCCCAACCACCACAACTTCTGGGAACAGCTGGGGCAGCAGGTGCAGCCTGCAGCCACGTGCTGGTGGTGGTAACTCTGAAGGCAGAGTGGGGAACTGTCACTTCATTCATTCATTCATTCAACCTACATATAACTAAATGGATCCATGGGTCTCTGAAAGAAAGTCAAAGAAAATAAGAATCCTTAAGAAGCTGATATAAAATGTGTGCTTTTTCTTTTTCTTTCTCTTTCTCTCTCTCTCTCTCTCACACACACATTCACATGCACATTTACAAGCAAAAGCAAAAGGCTTAAGACAAGAAAATGAGCAGATACTCAATTATCCCTATCCCCAACTTTCTAAGAAAATATTTCCAAAAGGTACAGTGATTGAAAGTATATAAACTAATTAAAGTGTATACTTAAAATTGATGTTTTTTTTAACTTTTTTTTTTAAACAAGTTCTCACTATGTAACCTAGGCTGGCTTGGAATTTGTGATCTTCCTGCCTCTACCTTCCCAGTGCTGGGATTACAGGCATCTGCTACTATGCACAGCTAACATTGATCGGTTTCATTGAATTTAAGTTATATCTCATTCACCTTTTTTTTTTTTATTTTTGCACTGCTGGGGATGGAACCCAGGGCCTCACACATGCTAGACAAGCACTACTACCTAATATATATACAAAAAAAAAAAAAGCAAAGTGGATCCTAGAGCTAAAGAAGAGCTAAACTCTAAAGGTCTTAGAAGAAAATACAAGATCTCCGTGATTTTGGTTAGGTAATGATTTCTTAAATGGGACACCAAAAATACAAATGATAACAGAGATGATGGGCAAAATGCAGCTATTTGAGCTGGGTGTGGTGAAGAACACCTGTAATCCCAGCATTCACGAGACTGAGGCAGGTGGATTACAAGTTTCAGGCCAGTCTAAGCTACATAAGCAAGATTTGTTTCCCAAAAAAATCAAGGATGGGGGGTGTAGAGTGCTTGCCTAGCATATGCAAGGCCCTCTCGGAGTTTGATCCCCTGCACTGAGGGAAAAGAAAAGAAAAGTAAAGCAGCTACTCAGGAGTCTGAAGCAGGAGTTCAAGGCCAGCCTGGGCAATGCAGCAAGATCCTATTTCAAAACAATCACAACAAGAAGTGCTGTGCTACGGACATGATTTACCATAGGGACCAGGACCCATGGAGACCAATACAGAGAACTGTGCATTCCACCGCAGGGTGATAAGGAATGGCCAGCCCAGGGCCGCAGAGGATAAATAACTCATATTTATGGAATGCGTACCAGCTTTGATGCACACAACCCCCCAACCCAATGAAACAGTTATTATTATTGTTGTTGTTATTCCCATTTTACAGATTGAGGAACCAAGAAACACAGACCAGAGGAGGGAAGACCTGCAGCCTTGTATGATTTTGTCACTGTCCCTTGTTTCTTCATCTTTGAACCTAGAGGGTAAGACTGGATGACATCTAAGAGCATTTGCTTGAGGCAGGGCTCAGCTGCTGGTGGCTGTTTTTTTTTTTTTCCCAGCCCAACCTGATCACCCTTCCTGAGTCCGAGTCTAGATTGAGGGGAACAGAGCCATCCTGCTGGTCACTGGGTAAATGCTTGACTGCTTTCTGGGGCTAGTCCAAGTCTGAAGGAGGATGTTAAGAAGAAATTTCCATGGCCCTTCCACCAACCGGGGATTTTCCACTCTGCCTGGGCAGACACGCCTCTCCATGTCCCCAGAGTGGGGCTGTGGCAAGCCATAGGTCTTGTTGAATGGTTCAGCCCAGTGCTGGGAGGAGGAGTGGGAGACCTGGTTTGGTCCCTGCTTGAGGAAAAGGGCCATTTTGTTGGGGAGGCATGACTGACCTAGAGAGACAAAGAGAGCTAGGGAGGGGTGGGCGCCAGGATGGTGTAGAACAAGGTACTACGGTCTAGAAGAGCCCCAAAGAGAGACCAGCGGGACAGGATCCATCAGGGGAAACTTCTTAGAATAGAACTGGAGAGGAGGAGGGGAGAGACTGGTGTGGGCGGACTGGAGTGCAGCATGGATCAGAAGAGGAATAACATGGACCAGCTTCACAGAGGTTGCCATGAACACGGGGAGTGCAGTGGCCTGGACAGAGTGGGATGCAAGAAACAGAAAGTGCAGTGAAGCTGACTGTGGGTGACAGAGGAT